GTTTCTAGGTTTTTTCGCACTTAAACTTGAAAATACACCATCGAACCGCTTTACATGCGCAACTATTTCTTTCCGTAACGCTTCTTTGTCACGCCCCAAACCTGGAGAGGCGTGGCTGGCACCCGGTGTCATGCTGGCCCGAGCAAACCACTCTGTAACTCATGATCGTTCGACCAAAACTAGAACATACATAGGTTGAATTAGCTAAACTCATTCCTTTTGTAACTATCATAGGCCCACATAGTCACAACTCCTAATGTACAACTGTAAGTGGAAAAACATTGTATCACTAAATTATTTTTCTTAAAACATGAATACATATAGGCCGTCAAGGCCTCTAACATACTGTACAAAATGAACCTCTGTCTACAAAGCCTCTAAGATTATTTGACATCAAATGGGACAGGGTACCGGACTACCCATAAGTCTTTAGCAAAACTCTAATACGATGACTCATACACTCGGCTGCACTCCAAATGAGGTAGAGTCTTACCGATCCTTTACTGAATGCCAATCTCGTCTACTATGAGGGCTCGTCAAACTGATTATCTATAGCTGCAGGCATGAATGCAGCGTCCCCAACAAAAGGACGTCAGTATGAATAATGTACTAAGTATGTAATGCATAACTGAAACATAACAATAAGTCAACATTAATTAAAGACATATAAGAATCAACCTGAATCTCTAAAGTGCCACCGTATATGCATACTTATTATACTCATATATATACAATGCTTATCTTTAAGACTATTATCCATATCGTATGATGCATGACTGCCTAACTGATCAGTGGTAACTGCCCTATCGGCCGTATCGCGGTGGTAAATGCATGACTGCCCGACCGACCGTAGTTCGATAGTAAATGGGTAACTGCCTAACCAGCCGTAGCTCGGTGGTAAATCTGTAACTGCCCAACTGGTCGTAACTCGGTGGTAAATGCATGACTGCCCGATCGGCCATAGCACGGTGGTAATGAATATGCATGAATATGCGTGTATCACTATATTATAAACATTAACATCTTTATCAAATACCTCAATAGAGATTTAGGAATATGCTTAGACATGCTTGAATATCACTTTACAGGAATGAATAATATAGACATCCTTAACTACTAAGAGTAGAACCACTTATGAAATAGCATTACGTTTACGTCTCGTTATTTTGATCATGCCACAAGAAAGAAGGATTAGCCTTAACATACCTGAGCCGGTTCTCTTAACAATCCCTCTAACACTCGTTGATTGCGACAAAACACGTAACGGCGGATCGAATTAGCAAAAAATCTTTAAGATATTCTTGATATCATAGCACGTCATTTCTTATCCGACTAATATTCACTCCATACTCTACATCATCAAACAATTCCTTTCGGCCTTCTTCTGTCATGTATCTCCAAAATTCCTCCAATTTCATTACCAATAAAGAAACCAACACAAAGGGTTCATTACCATTAAAGAAAACCAAGACAAAGGAAATTATTCAAAGATAACTTATGTGTTATTCATGGTCCTCCAACGTGTAAACAAAGTCATTGAGGTGTTATGACTCATCATACACCTTAGTGCCACCAAGTTACATGACTTTAAGAGTCATTAATTTGAAAGGGAGGGGCTGCCACGTTAGGCCTTGTAGGTCTTATCCAAACTTTTAATTAATTTTCCACTAAAAATTATTAATTATCCGATTATTCACATAATTAAGAATTATCTCAAATTACTTAAAATACTACTCACTTTTAACACACTTTGTACACCTTACTATTATGGTCATGTGGTACCATATAAAATCAATACATACAATATTATTTCATTAAAACATCCATGTAAGAACAATGCACATATTTTCTCAACTTCTAGTTTTTCTAATCTCATATAAAGAGTACAAATTTTCGTACGCTTAGTTCTTAAAATGGTAAAAAGATAACCTTCTTTTCTTGTGAGAAAATAATTTCTATCTTTATAAAAAGAAAATCTCATATTATTTGTATAATTTAAAGCATATTCGGAAGTAGTAATATTGATAACTATATAAAATCATATTTTTCAAACTTTTTACAAAAATATTTCACTCAAAATATCATATCAAACGTATATATCGGTATCAATGTTGTTAAACTCACCGAATGAAACATTCTTTCTTTCAACAATGCTTCTTCACTCTCTCTTTCACATACTATCTCTCTTTCAAAACCCTATCAATTGCTGTATAATCTTTCATCTTTATTTTTCCTACTGAATTTCTCTCGTACCTTTAACTCAACTCTATCTACCTTCTTTGTGCTATTCCCTTTCATTACAAAACGAAAAAACTGTTTATTCACACTGCTACTTTTTATATTTTTTCCTCACCAAATATATATGCTAACTTTTATGCCAATGAAGTTGTCCGAAGAAATCCATCCCCCGTCCCCGGTTTCAGGAAAAAATTGGTATTCCCTCTGTAATTACTGGTTAATCCTTTCAAAGTTAATATTTATTATTTACGCCTTATTCTTTTATACTTGACTCTTATAAAATTGTATGAACCCTAATCTAATTTTATCTAATTATATAGGTGTGGACAAAAAAGGATGCCAAGAAGCAATCAAAAGATTGAGGTACATTCTGTGGGAGTATTTTCAAAATTTAAATAGCCAAGTATCTTTGGTCTATTCCAATATCCCCCATGTGGCATTCTTTCTCTTGGTTTTGGGTAAGTGGCATAATCCAAGTATCAAGTGGCGGAGGAGACATAACACTTGTCTCTTTGCAAGAAAAGTTTTTGACAAGTAGATGAACACTTGTCATTTTCTTACATAATTCTTACAACTATAAATACCCACTTCCTATACCATCCGAAGATACCAACAAATATTTTATTCTCTCATGATTGCTAATGATTAGTAATCATCACTACAAGCCTTCTCATTTTCAATTACGCCTAGCCTTTTGTGTGTTCCAATTTTTTTTATAACATATGTTTATTTCCTCTTTCCAAACTTTCTGGTATTATTTAATTTTGCTGATTCCCGTATCCTCTAAATAAATAGAGATGAGTTTATTTAATCCTGGAGAAATATTTCACATTGCTGAAATAGTTTTTTAAGACAGTGCCCACCACGACTCAAGCCAATTCGTGTATTTGCGCTCACAAATATTATTGCAGTATTATTATTATTATTATCATTATTTTCCGATGTCATTTCCCTACACATTCCAAATCTTCTTCACTAAGTATTATGCTTTTTTCCACAATTCATAACTGATGCAGTAAAAATTCTGGAAAACTATAATTTTCCCCCTAATTAATAAGATCTAAAGATTCTAAAACACTTGCAGAAATCCAATGATTCTTCACTATTATGATATTTTCACAATTGATACTGCATGTGTCTCTGATATGAAGTACAAGAATATCGTATTATTGCTAATATTTTTTCCAAACAAAGTTGGACAACAATGTTTTTAAATATTGATTATATATAGATTCTTATTGTATTAGTATTATTATATTTGTCCTGCTCAATTCTTTTGTGTTCTGATTCACAAGCGACATATGCATTTAAGACTGCAATAAAAGCCTCTTACTCTTCTTCTTTCTCTTCCTATTAAACTCACACCTTCGATAATAATATTTATAAATGTTGCCTTCCATGATCGTAATGGATAACAACTGGATGAATCATGCTATCTATGGATAAAATAAGGATAAAATAGAGGTCAAGCCTTCAACAACAATATCTAAAGATGAGGTCGTGCCTTAAACCATAATATCTATAAATGTTGTTTTACATATAGTTTAGTGTTATGGAGTTTAGACTATATTAGATTCTTATTATTTGGTATTGAATAGTAGTTCAACTTCGTGTTACTTCTCTTCCTCCAAAACTCACACATTTAACAACAATATCTATAAATGTTATTTATATACACTTTAGTTATATGAAGTTTATATTATATTAGAACTTTATCGTAGCCTCAGAAATTGATATTGGATATTCGTTCAACTTCCTCCTCTGTTAGCACTTCCTTCTCTACACTTTGTTGTTCTGCTTGAAGCAGCATATGCATTAAACATAATGACAACATTGTAATGATCAGGAAGATATATAGTTTTCCCAGCAAAATTGTAATGCCTTATTATATTTATTTGATTAAATATAGATTGTTGCTATATTAGCATTATAATATTTTTCCTGCTCTTACTCTTTTTGTGTTCTGCTTGAAGATGTTAGCACACATATGATCAGGAAAAATATTTTTTTCTCGCTAATATTATAAAAATCATGGAATCCATTTTCCAAATTTCTCATATCATGCCTTTTTGCCGTATCTAAGTGCTCTTTCTCTTCCTTCAAAAGATACCCTCTTTTTACTCTTTGAAAGTAACGTCACTTACTCTTCATCTTAATTGTAACCAATCGTTGTTTACTCTTCCTCATATTTCATCATCGCCACTGTAATTCCCATCTTTCTTCCTCACTTTTTGTTTGCTGCATTATGATGTGTTTTTACCTCATGTTTTTCTTATATCTTGCTCTTTCTTCCTCCAAAAAATATAGCTCGTTTTACTCATTCAAAAGTCATGCCTCTTACGCTTCTTTCTCTTCATATTAAACTCACGCTTTCGACAATAATATCTATAAATGTTATCTTCCCACGCTTGCAGTGGATAACAACTGGATGAATCCTGATATCTATAGATAAAACAAGGATTAGAAAGAGGTCACACCTTCAACAATAATATCTAAAATTAAGCTCACGCCTTAACCAATATCTATAAATATTGTTTACATATATTTTAGTGTTATAGGGTTTAGACTATATTATATTCTTTTTATAGCCTTAGATTTTGGTATTGCATAGTAGTTCAACTTTCTGTTACTTCTCTTCCTCCAAAACTCACGCATTTGATAACAATATCTATAAATGTTGTTTATATATAATTTAGTGATATGAAGTTTTGGCTATATTAGATTTTCATCGTAAAAGCATCATAAGAAAGAAGATTTGGAATGGTGATGTGATGTCCTAATCTTCCTCCCACTCGCTAGACCTAAACAAATTCTTCCTTTTTCTTGGAGGAGAAGAAGAATACGAAATCCATTATCGGAGAAGTCTGACTATGATCATTCAGATCAAAGGTCCTATTATCTCAGGGGTAATGCAATATAGATGGAAACATTAATTATACAAACTCATCAAAGTGAGTTAGCAAAAATCTTACACTTTTTTTCTTCCAATTATAACTTTTGTTAGTCAATGTGGAAGCTTTTGTTTTCCATTGTTAACGTGATGATATAAATGGGGGGTTCTGTAATACAAGTAGGAAATGTGATGTGTTTAATGTAAATCGATTCGTTACTTCTAAATTTCTGTACTAAAGGATGCAGCTAATTCTGTGTGCATATTAGTAGACATTGATAGTACTTTACCAGACAATGACTTCATATATCAACCAGGGCCTGGATCAGTCATCTGAAGGATATATTGCTGGTTGTTCTAACGATTCTAAGATGCATTTGATCCCTAAGGATATGTACGTCTCTATTAGCTTTTCTCCGTTAGATTGTTCATCTTTTATAGAAAGAATGTTTATCTTCTTTAGAATGAAGGATCATTCTGACCAACTATTTTGTTGAAAACAGTAAATTGCCTGAGGCCTAACTAATATTCTGAGCTTCTTTATTATGCCAGGTAGCAAAACATATATAAAGACTCCTCTCTGAAGATTGCCTACTTTGTTGTCTATCCATTTGCTTTTACTAAACGATGTAGTGCTCATCGAGATATGACTTTGAAAGACATTAATCAACAGATACGTACCACGCAATCAAAGTCAAGGCAAAATAGTAGATCCTTATATTTTGAACATCCAAATCAGCATTCTCTAGCAAGCTTGGCGTTTGGAAGACCACAATACAGACTGAAGGAGGAAAGCATTAACGTTGTGAGGACCAAAGGTTAATTAGTTTATTGTCGCCTATTCATTTTTTGAGGCTATGTTGCTCCATTTCTTTTGTGGGATCATTTTATGTGTTTGCGACAGGTTAGCAGAAGAGACGCGGACAGAGCATAACAGAGATGGAGAGAGCTGATTGTTCTATTTCGATTTGGGGATGTAAAGCATTGTCCCACTTTTTACTCTAAAGGATCGGTTACTTCTTATTTGACTTGTGATGTTGTGGTGATGAATCTTGCTGATATAGCATTCATATATTTTACTTTTCTTTTCTTTTTTCGTTTTCCATCTACTTTTTGCAGGGCTCCAAGTAAATATAAATTCATATAAACTTGTGATATTAAATATTAGGAAATTACAGAAAGATTCTTCTAGGTTCATGTTCTATTTTTTTTTCTTTTTTGTGATGTGGAATATCTTTTTCTATATTATATTGTGTTTTTCATTGTTCATAGAAGTTTGTTTCATTTGTTGTTTATAGAATGTTTTATTATTTAGAACAACGGTACCTTCTGTAAAGGATTTAACCAAATCTCACAAGGGTTCTCTTCTCATATAATTATATGCTTTGAGTTCATCTAAAAGTTTGTCATATATAACAAAACTGACAATGAATTACGAGAGAGACAGAGAGATAAAGAGAGAAATTAATATTTTCTTGAAAAGTTTTTGAGGGAGGAGGCCTATGGAATGTGAAAGCAATAATTGAGTTTAAGAAGGGAGCAATTTCTACTTTCATACCGTTATGAGCATAAAGCTTCTTCTGTTTAAGAAATTGACATGCTTTGTGACGTAAAGCTTTTCTGTTTTACTTGTGCCAAACACACTTGGTAGCGGAGGCATAACTTCGCAATAACGGAGTCAAGCTCTCCACTCAAAGAAAACACACCCAATGTAAAGGGATATGTGTAAAAGTATGTAAAACTCTCACTGGATAGGGTTATTCGCTCTGTTAGATCAGGAGAAACAATGTCCAAATCTTGGCAGTGGCAGTCTTCCTCCACAACAGAAATACTAGAAGGACGAATGGAAGAAGGGTATCTGCTAATGGCCTACGTGCGAGGGTTAGCTGAAGAAAATTTCTCTTCGAAATCTTTTGTTGTAACAAGACTTCTAGGGATGATGGTGCCCACTGTCGCTTTTGCCCTTTGAAGAGTTGGTGTTCTTTGAACAAGAAGCCATTATATGTTATGGATAAAGGAAAAGTTTTTTCCGTTTGAAGGAAGTTAAAGAAATGTTGAATAATAATAATGAGAGTTTTAGAGAGTTTGACGAGTTATAGAGTATGAGTGAAGAAGGTTGATGCGTACAAGTAAAGGTTTAAGCGGCTAAATTCGTGGCCATGATTACCTTGATAACCGGCAAAAGCTATGCTGAATCGTGGGATGACGCGTGTTCAGAGCATTAAATGCGGAGAGATGTGCGTCTAATCAACGTCAGAAGCTTTTCAGAAGGAATCATAGTAGTTCCCGCCAAAAAGACCGTATCTACCAACTTTCCGATGACACAAAGATATGTTACCGGAAAGCAGGGGGACTATCTGTATACGGCAAAATACGTTATGATACGTGGCCGCTTAAGAGAATGACACGTGGAACTTAAGGAGGGGGATAGTTAGAATCGACGACAATTATCCCATTTGTCACCGGAAAAAATAACACTCGTAAAAATGCAACAAATACCCTTCGACACGTAGCATTTAATAGAAAATATTCCACAGGATTTAGTGTAATGTCCATTACAGAGAATTTGTCATTTATGCTCACCGTTACACCTTCATCAATGGCCCTCATAATTGACATTAAAGAAGGGCACGATCCTAGGACCTTCTTCCCTAGGCGTAGCTATAAATAGCGAGCTCTATTATCATTGTAAAGGAAATGACTTTACTAGCAAATTTACGCTATAATCGATCAAAAGCTTTCCATAATTTTACTTTCTTGTTCCTTGTTTTCATCACTATTGTGCCCGGAAGCTCTGCCCTCCGAATTACTATTTTTCGTGATTTTACCTTCATTTCAAGACTAAGTATTGCGTATTTATTTAATTATTTTATTATTTCAGGATCAAATTAATTTACTTGTCTAGAAAGCACGTATAAATTCAACTATATCATTTTACGGGTAAACAGTTTGGCACCCACCGTGGGGCCTAGACAACCCTGTAATTAAGTTGATCCTTGCATCTTTTACTAACGTGTTTTTATTATTTGTCTTAGCAAAAAATTATAAGAAATGACAGATAATGGTGTTAACAACACACATAATCCTGAGGTTCAAGGAGACCAGTCTCATCTCGAGGATTCAATCAGTGATACCCACAATGAGGGGAACGATGCCACGCCGGTCAACGACAAGCGGTACCCACGACATATACGAGAGGCAACTCTCGATGACGCTTAAGAGGAACATGTTGTTGATGCGGTAAGTGTCCTACAAGAGCAACAAACAATCATTCTAGGCCACCTCGGACGACAGGATAAGGTTATGACGGAGTTGAAGCATGCGTTATCGGGGGCTTCCAATAACGCGAATAGACGAGGTCCAGTTCCTCCCGGCACTCCCGCAAATCAAACAACGTAGAGGGTTGACAAAAACACCCTGAGGGGCGAGGTTTGTTCCGATGGGGCTGGGAGGAACGGATCCGGCCCTAATAACAAAAATGACCCCTTCAAGAATGAACTCTTATGGTTTATGAGAGAAGTGAATACCCGCATGGACCAAATCCCGGGCGCACCACTGACGCTGAAAGGTCCAGACTCAAAGAAGTATACTCAGTTGCCGTACAAACCGAGTGCGATGCCAGAATTAATCTCGAAGCGGTTTAAAATGCTCGACGTGCCAAAGTATGATGGAACTTCAGACCCTCAGGAGAATAACACCACCTACACAACGACGGTGATGGGGAATAATTTAGCTCCTCACGAGATTGAATCTGTTTTGCTGAAAATATTTGGAGAGACTCTCACGAGGGGAGCGTTGATGTGGTATTCGCTGTTACCAAGCATTCCATAAATTCCTTTGAGATACTCGCAAATTCTTTTATTAAGGCTTATGCCGGGGCTAGAAAGGTGCAGGCCCAAAAGACAGACATATTCAAAATTGCACAAGGAGAATCCGAGTTTCTGCGAGAGTTCGTTACCCGATTCCAAAAGGAGAGGATGTTGCTCCTGGCTGTTCCATATGAATGGGCGGCTGAAGCATTCACCAAGGGTCTGAATCCGAGAAGTTCAAAACGCTTCCCAAAAACTTATGGAAAGCTTGCTTGAGTTCTAAGCAGCGACTTGGATATTACAAATAAGGATCGAAGGTGATCAGGTTGGCTTAGCATCGTCGGCAAAAGGACGGGAGAAGAATAAAGAAATATCAAAAGACGGTTTTGACATGGACAGACGGTTTGCGAGGGGTCGGTTTTGCCTTACGAATGGACTAAAGGCCGCGGCAGAGGCTTCTGGTCAGTAGACAGGTTCGCTACCGACAGAAGGACTGATCGCGGTCAGAACAATAGATGAATGCAGGACAAAGAAGCGTCGGGTACGGGGGATCCTTCCTACCCTAAGCTTTCAGAATACAATTTCAACATCAATGTAGTAGAGTTGGTATCAACAATGAGAAACATCAAAGAAGCACGATTCCCGAAGCCAATGAGATCCGATCCCAGCTAGAGAGATCCCAACTTTTGGTGTGAATACCACGGGACAAATGGCTAACAGGCTGGGGACTGCCGACATCTCCGGGAAGAAGTGGTGACACTATTGAAAAATGGGCATCTCAGAGAATTCTTAAGTGACCGAGCCAAGAATAACCACGGTCGCAATCAGGATAACGCAGAACTCTCAATAGCAAGAGAAGATCCCTCGCACCAAACGATCAACATGATCTTCGGGGGGAACGAGATCAACGGGGTCACCTTCTCGGCAGCAAAAAAGACGAAAGTATCAATAACCCATGGCAAGTGACTCCAGGAAGTTGCTGAAGATGACATCACTTATGCAGAGGAGGACGCAAAAGGATTGTTGCTACCGCACAACGACGCATTGGTAATTTCTTTAAATGTGCTAGAATTTAAAATCAAATGTTTTCTAGTAGATCCAGGAAATTCAGCCAATATAATACAATGGAGAGTATTGGAGCAAGCTAAACTCACCGGCAGCATCATTCTGGCCATGAAACTCCTCACCGGATTCAACCTCGCGAGTGTGACAAACTGAGGAGATATTTTGTTGCCCACGAACGCTGAAGAAGTGATGAAAATGACTCATTTTGAAGTGGTGGATGGTGATATGTGATATAATATTATTCTGGGAAGACCATGGTTGCACGAGATGAGAGTTGTACTATTAACATATCATCAGTTGCTGAAATTTCCAATGGCAGAAGAAATTAAATAGATAAGGGGCGACCAACTGGCTGCAAAGGAGATGAATGCGATTTCGGTCTCCAGTATGAAAGAGGATGAGCACGCAACATAGAAACTACAGGAATCGGCGCCCGTTCCCGAATCAAATGAAGTTAGCCCGAGGATAGAGGCGTCGGAATCTTATCAGGTGCCAAGGTATTTCCAGGTACCAGAAGAGACGGATGCAACAAAATCCACGACGGAAGAGCTTGAGCAAGTTGCATTGTTTGAAAAGTTCTTAGAAAGGAAATTCCACTTGGGGACAGGACTGTGCCCCGAGCTCAGGTCTGGCTTTATTGAATTTATTAAATTTAATACTGATTGTTTTGCATGGTCGCATGCGGACATGACAGGGATCCCAACGGAGGTGGTCGTACACAAGCTAAGTTTGGATCACAACATCCCTTTGGTAAGACAAAAAAAGCACCCAATTACAGAGGGCAGGAATAAATTCATCAAAGAAGAGGTAACTCGCTTACTTGATATCGGTTCGATCCGAGAGGTAAAATATCTAGACTGGCTAGCTAAGGTAGTAGTAGTTCCTAAGAAGAATAATAAATTTCGCATATGTGTAGATTATAAGGACTTGAATAAGTCGTGACCGAAAGACTTGTTCCCAATGCCAAACATCGATCAAATGATTGATGCAACTGCCGAGCACAAGTTAATGAGTTTCCTCGATACTTATTCCGGGTACAACCAAATTAAGATGAACCTTGAGGATCAGGAAAAAACTTCATTTATAACGAATTTTAGCATATATTGCTATAATGTGATGCCTTTTGGGTTGAAGAACGCCGGATCAGCAGCTCGTAAACAAGATGTTTGAAAAACAAATAGGGAAAAGTATGGAAGTTTATATAGAAGATATGCTCGTTAAGTTGTTGAATGCAGGTGACTA